AGAAAACCAGCCTATATTTTATGGATTATGATAAAGCCTTTAATTGTATAGATCACGAAAAATTTAGATCACTCTTAAAGAAATAGGCATGCCACAATGTTTGATTGTCCTGATGTATAACCTGTACTCAGGACAAGAGGCTACTTTTAGGACAGAATACTGGATGATTTCCAACTGGCAAGGAGGCCAGGCAAGTTTTCATTTTATCAACCTATCTGTTTAATTTGAACTCTGAACATATCATACGTAAAGAAAGATTAGATCTGGAAGAAAAAGGTGTGAAAATTGGTGGAAGGAACATCACCAATTTATTATATGCAGATGACACCATACCACTAGTAGAAAAATAGAAAAGACTTGGAACAATTACTGAAGGATGTCAAGGAAAAAAGTGTAAAGACAAGTTTACAGCTGAACATTAAAAAAACAAAACTGACCACAGATGATTTACGTAACCTTAAACTGCCAATGAAGATGTTGAAATAGTTCATGATTTTCCATACCTTGGCTCAGTCATTAATCAGAATGGAGACAGCAGTCAGGAAATCAGAAAAATATTAAGATTTGGAAGAGCGGCTATGAAAGAGCTAGACAAAATCCTGAAGTGTAAAGATATATAATTGAATACTAAAGTTAGGCTTGTCCATGCCATTATGTTTCCAATTTCTGAGTACGGTTGTGAAAGCTGAACAATGAAGAAAGGTGATAGAAAGAAAATCAACTCATTTGAAATGTGGTGCTGGAGAAGTTTACAGATACCATGGATTGCTAGATGGGTTCTACAGCAAATCAAACCTGAACTCTCCCTAGAAACCAAGAAGATTAAACTGAGACTATTGTACTTTGACCATATTATAAGAAGACAGGACTCCCTAGAAAAGACAATAATGGTTGATGAGATAGAAGGTAGTAGGAAAAGAGAAAGGCTACATTCTAGATGAGCAGACTTAATCAAGGAAGCCACTGTTCTGTGTCTTCAAGCTCTGAACAGAGCTGTTGATAATAGGGTGATTTGGAGGTCTCTCATTCATTGGTGATATTATAAGGGGCAGATCCTGCTGACATCATTAATGATGACACTTTAAGCATCAACCACAATTGTACATTAGGTTTGCACAGGTGAGGAAAATACATATGCATATCTCTTTCAAGACAGCAGTCTCACTTTGAGATCCCGACCCCTCATCCTCAGGACTGCAGCCCCTGAGATCTGAGAGCTCTCTCCCCCACTCCTTGGCTCCAGTCCTCTGGCATCATGTCCCCCTTTTTCACAATTTCCTGAATATGTGATTAGAGAGGGAAGTATATCTATTTTCTCCACAAGACATTGCCTTTGATATTGGTGGACTGTTAACTGTTTTTAGATTATTTGAGGGTTTGGGAGGAATTCTAGCAACTTATTTTGCATAAGGAATAACAAGCAAACATTATACATCACAAACACTAAAACACACACACATGTTATCCTGGAGCCTAGATGGACTGGCTGCCCATAAGAGACTGATACTACAGCTAATTGGACTATTTTGTGACAGCTGGAATCTTAATGCTCACACTATTCTACATAACCTGTGCAGTTTGAAACCCAGAATGGCTAGCCTGGGAAGTCCACAAAGCTTGATTGTTATATTTTATGATTGTTTATTACCTATATTACAGCACCTCACAAAGGGCTGCCCCCCCCTTCTGCGTGAAGTCTGTTCAGGTGCTCAGCATTTCAAACACTTGTTTGACAAACAAGAGACGAACACTTGTTAATTCTAATGGCAAGGATATGAGTCACCAGTGACTGCTAAAAATTTTAAGGTGCACAATAAAAGACTGATCCTGCCCCAGAGAACTTCAAATATGTTCTTCAGAAAGAAACTTCAGTTCTGCAGATGGAAACAGAGTCATCTATATTTTCAGCTAGCTATATCTCTGATGCTTTTATATTCCTTTTTGCACTATAGAAATGTAGTCTAGAAATCTTGAGCTTAAAGAAATCCCATTATTATCTGTTTAAATAAAAAGGCATAAAAATATTAAATAAGGCAAACATTAATATAGATTATCCTTTGTTGTGAAAGCTGATCCTGGAATGGAATCTGGGCTTACTGAATTTCTGTAATAGATATTTTTGGGTTGACTGTGAATAATATGAGCATTTGCCTTAGGACAGAAAGACATCTCAAGTGTCATTAGCACCTGCTACTTCCAAGGATGGACCATGCTTCACCACATGCTCCAAGTGTTGG